CCTTTCTGAAAGGAGCAGTCTTGGGTTGGTAAGGGCTTTTTCTTATAATAATTTTACATTTGCCCCTTTGACTTGATACACATACACTGTGCATTTCAGGGAGGCAGTGGGCAGGCAGCAAGGAATTTCCCTTACGCAATTGCCCTTGTTCTTGCATCATGCAAAGGTGTTTGCCATTGTAAAAGGAAACCATTGTATTGAGGATGATTGGTTTCAAGGTGATATACTTAAATGTTCACAAATGCTCATAGATTATATGGATGCTTTCCATGCTATTGTAGACATTTCAGTTACTGCCCACCATTCATTCTAATCCTCCTTCTCCTTTTTGCTCTACATATTAATTGTATCATGTTTTACCCCCTGTGCTCAAAATAGCTGTCTGTCTATGGTTGGTATGTGGCAACCAATCTGTGATGGGTCTGGAAGCCTTTCGCAAGGAATACCTCTGCTCACTCAGAGATATATTTACAGTATTTATTTACATACGTATTTACAAGGTACAGAACATAGCTTCATGCGTCCAAATCCTCAGTAGCAGATCCAGGAAGTGGGAGCCTTCGGCTCCTCCTCCAGCAGAGGAGCTTGGGAAGCCCCAATCGCCTCCTTTGTTCCCTACGCTTTAACCCTCTCCTGTCCTGTGCTGAAGGAATGGGCATCGAATCTCCCTCTGTCCCTGAACTGGTAAAGTGGCGTTGATGTTCTCCAGCATCCAGGAGCATCCTCGCCTCTTGAGTTCCTTCCGCTTGCTTGTCCTCCTCTCCTTCTCCTGTCTTTTCTAAAGGCTCCTGTTCCTCCCCCTCCGTCAGCTCCGGGGCATTCCCTGGCAGCCCCATGACACAATCCAAAGGAAGCTCCCAGTTTCAAATTTTTCTTGCTTCCAAGAATGGCTTGAAATTTATCACACATTTTGATCTGCAGTAATGCGTTGGTGTTTGTTGGTCTGGACAACATACTAAATGCAACCATAGTTCCTCCTTATTGCATGGAGTTCATATTCGTACCTTTGAAAACATGTATCTGGAAATACATTAACATTAACTCAGGCTGGCCCCCCTGGCAATAGCATTCCATAGGCAGGGGGCCACAACCAAAAAGTCCCTCTACCTTGTTGCTACCCTCCAAATGTCTCTTTTGGTGGGCACCTGGAGGAAGGCCTCAGATGACCATAGTATCTGAGCATGTCATTGTTGAGAAAAGCATCCCATTAGGTAATGAGGTCCTAGGTCATATGGGGCTTTGTGGGTCAAACTCAGCACTTTGAATTGGGTGTAGAAATGTGTGGGAAACCAGTGTGACTGTGCCAGTACTGCTTTTATATGGTCAGACTGCTTAGTCAGACTGCTTAGTTCCTGTCTGTTGCATTTTTAGTTATTTATAAGATTTATTAACTGCTCTTCACCATGAAGTCCCAGGATACTTCCCAGTTACAAAACCCAGGAAGGGGGGGACCATTACTATTATAAAACAAGTGGAATTGAACAGTGTAAATTCAGCAAGAGGTAGCTCCCATAAAGCAAAATACCAGGGTGAAGAGATGTATTTATAAATACAAAGAATGGTGGACTGCTGTGTATTGATAGTTTCATAGGTCTGTTCGACCCACAGTAAAAAGGTAGCTTTGTCAGTGTCTTAGCAAAAATTCTTAATTGACTGGGTTTGCCTGAGTTCCCAGTAAAGCTTGCAACATGTGCAGCAGGACTTACTTCTGGTGAATTATTACTTTGGGAACAAGAATCGCCCATTGCCTGCCTGCCTGTCTCTCTGTTCCCGAGCTTGTTTCATTTCATTACATTCCAGCTAGACTAGGGGTTGCCAACCTTTTTATACCTACCGCCCACTAATGCATCTTTCTTGATGGTAAAATTTCCTTACCGCCCACCAGTGCTCGATGGAAGGAGGATTCAGCTTGTGCCGTAGAACCCCCTACCGCCCACCTAGAATCCTGAAACACTCACTAGTGGGCAGTAGGGACCAGGTTGACAACCCCTGAGCTAGACCAATCTAGCATTTAGGGGTCACTGCATCAGAATCTTCCTATGAAAGCCAAAGCTGCCAGCACGAATACGCTCTACTGTTTTTTGCTAGATTGTGTGAAAGGCTCTCAGGGCATACTGTCCAACCTGCGTCTTTTTGCTTCTGTAGAGTTTAGTACAGCTGGTTCTGCTGGCCTCCCCCAGCCCTGGTATACCCTGTTCAGGAAGTCTAGAAAGCGGCAATGCCTAATCCCCATGAGGGAGCATAAGACTTCTAGGCCAGAATCTAGATGCTGTCACAAAAAGTCAAGAAACTGAGCTTTTATATATCTTGGTTGTGGGGGGGGGGGTAAAAACAAACAAGTAGAATTAACAGTTGCATTTCCTGTCAAGAGCCTGGAAACTAAAGGAGCCCTTACTGGGCTTGTTTGTGAATACAACACATTACATACATAAATACCTAGGCTGTTGTGTTTGTGGTAAATGTGTCTTTTTGAGTGACTGGTGTTGTAGTTGCAAAACTTTTATCCCCTCAGATATACCTTTGCCAATCCTATTTGTTATGAAGCCTAAAATGCAATGTTAGCAGATTAATGGCAATGTCTGTACAGAAACAGTGTATGATCATGGCTATGAATTAACTGGCCTGACAGGTGTGTAAAATATGACTTGGGTTATGTAGATCCTCTGTGTTTGTGTGTGTGTGTGTTGGTTCCGGTTACTCTGTCTGAAGAATCAGGTCATCTTGTGACATAAACTGGCACTGATTCTGTTCCTTAGTAATCCAGAAGGCAAGGACAGAACGGCTTCCCTCTGACTCCCAAGCAAAACTAATCACTTCCACTGTTGTTTTCTCAAGTTGACAGAGCCGCTCTCCTCTTCCAGATCACTAGGCTGATTTCAGAAAATGTGTCGTGTGTGTGTGTGTGTGTGTGTGTGTGTGTGTTCCTTTTACAACCTCCAGCCAAAAACGACCTCATGCAGATACTTTGGAAGGAGGGGGTAGGAGGGAGGGTGTTCTCTAGGCTTAGTCCAATGCGGTTCTGCTTTTTGAACATCTTCTACAACTGAACATCTTCTCAGTCTGGTTCATTGATTCCATTCTTGAATCATGAACGGATGCAGGGTAATTCACAATTGCTTTTTAAAGTGGCAAACTTGGAGGGGGCGGGTGGGCGGGCTTCGTATCTATTTCAGTTTGGCCGAAAGTGTTCTTCATGAAAGCATTCTGGATTTGATGTGTGCCCATGTGAAAAAACCCTTAGAGCTTTTTACTTATGAGGGTTTTTTTTTAAGTCCCTTTCACAATTCATACCATGCATGAATTTTAATTCAGAAGAGAGATCTTATGTACAGTGCAACTGTTATATATTTTTATTTTTTCTTAAATGCCATTTTGCATCTTCTGTTATGTAATATTCCATCATGTGTGGAAAATCCCTTAAAGGGACCATTTTTAACTAGGCTCAGCTACTTGAATTACATCATGGTTAGACTAGCAAAACAAGGAACAAATAAATTCAAATCTGAACAGGGCATGATTAGTATTTTTAAAAAAAATAAAATAAAAATAAAGAGATAAGACATAATACTTTCTCTTTTTGACTGGCTGAGTTCTGTGTTGCTATTTCTCCTTGTAAATTACCTATATCTAAATTATCGGATAAATAATGAATGCTATTCGTCTTCCTCTTACTATGAGCTGTGAAAAAAGTACAGGACTCTTACCAGACGTACAATGATATTATTTTACCATCCCTGCCCCTTTCCATGTCTGGGGTATTCAAACCATTTCTGCTTCAATGTGTGTGTAAGCTTAAGATTTTTCAATGGAAGGAATGTACAAATTATCCCACCGGTAGCTGCATTCTTGAATTATTTGAAACCTGATGTCTTTTTGACCATCTCGGTCACAATGAATGTTCTGAATGTTGAAAAACACCCAAGGTGAGACACACATACCACTATGATTTATGGAAGCACTGGATAGGTGATACAGTTCATTGCCTGTCCAGACTGTCAAAGAAATCTAGACCAAAAGCCCTGATTTGTTAGTGACATTGTATCCTAAAGCTTCCCACCCTAACCCCTGGAGGATGGAGGAAGGCGAGGGAAATGTTAACGACAGCAGGCATGATGGGGGAGAAAAGTCAAATGACCCTGAAAGGGCATTAGGAGAAATGGGGCGGGTGCATGTTGGGCTGAAATAGTGAGAAACAAACAAAAATGTCATCCAGAATACATGTTTATGAAAGCAGATCCAGCTAGCTGTCTTCTCTCATACTATCACCTATGATATTCAAACATGTTTCTATGATTCTAGCTTTATCTATTGGGAATGCTTTGAGAACCTTTCCAGCAAAATAGCAATGTTTACAATTTGCTGATAAGAGCATCTTGCAATGCTATCCTTCAAGGCTGCTCATATTAAGCATTTTATTGGATAAACACACAATGATCTACACAGAGGTTGTATGCTCAGTTGCACACAGAAGCACTAGTTCTATTAAGGATAATGATGATGATGATGATGATGATGATAATTAATAATAATAATAATAGAAGAAGAAGAATAAACAGCTTTTGAATATATACCCAGAGTTCAGTTAGTTTAGGATTTAGTTGGTATTTTCTATGCAATATGGGAGCTGGGCCATAAAGAAGGCTGATCGTCAAAGAATTGATGCTTTTGAATTATAGTGCTGGAGGAGACTCAAGAGTCCCATGGACTGCAAGATCAAACCTATCCATTCTGAAGGAAATCAGCCCTGTGTGCTCACTGGAAGGACAGATCCTGAAGCTGAGGCTCCAATACTTTGGCCACCTCATGAGAAGAGAAGACTCCCTGGAAAAGACCCTGATGTTGGGAAACGAGATGGTTGGACAGTGTTCTCAAAGCTATAACATGAGTTTGACCAAACTGCAGGAGGCAGTGGAAGACAGGAGTGCCTGGCATGCTCTGGTCCATGGGGTCACGAAGAGCTGGACACGACTAAACGACTAAGCAACAAATACTCCATTTTTAATTTATTTATTTTTACATTGCTAACCAACCTGGGAGCTTCTGGGATTACACAATAAATATTTATTTGCTTTAGGCAAACTCCCAGGGCAGTTTACCTAATACAAACACAGTAAACTACATTAAACTACAACAGCATGTAAACAAATAAATAATCATGAAATGCAGATGATGAATAAAGGAGGTCAGGGTGGATCTCACCAATCCAAGGACCAACAAAATAAAAATCCTTCAATAACATACAGTAAAATCCCCAAATTAACCTATCACTGCAAACTTGATCCAGGAACATCTTATTGAGTTTGTAGAGTGTTCATTACATGGACAGTGTTCCAAGTGTGAAACCATTATAGAGATTTGTTGCATTCCACTTATTCCAAAATATGCAAATAAATACTTATTTTAGTTAAAGGTAGAAAGTTTGAGACACTACAGAGTCTGTAATATAATGCTGTTTGTTTATGCTAGCCTCTGTCCAGAGAAAATTAGTTGCATCTAACTCCCATCGAAAGCAGTAGGACATATTCATTGCAATTAATCCCAAAGCTGTCAGGAGCAGATAAGGACAACTTTCTCTGGATCCCCAACACATTGGCCATTGCCCAGCCAAAGCTAGTTTGGACTAAGTCCTATGAAAAGGAAATGGGCCTCCACTTAATCGCAATCAACTTTTTCTGAATAGCGGCTACCCTTTAGAGTTGGGCTTCTGAGTGTCCCAAATAAGACGACAAACTTTATCAGCAACAAATAGCAACTGAAAGTCATGATCCAAAAAGCACAAGATTTCTATCCTCTTAAAAGCCAAAGGTGCTTTAAAGAGGTTCAATATGATATTTTCTTAATTTGCACAGACATTTTGGAAAAATGTGCTTTGCAGGCAGAAGATCCAAGGTTCAATTTCTGGCATCTCCAGACTGAGAAAGCCTCCTGTCTGAAACTATGAAAAAACCATTGCCAGTCAGTCCATGTAGACCAGGAGCAGATAAGTATTTTTCAGCCAGGACGTCACATTCTTTTGTGGGCAACCCTAGGGGTGGGGTGGGGGGCTTGCCAGCAGGTGGGTGGGACCAGAGGTAACAACGGGCAGAAGAACTGAAACAACTCTTACCTTCACTCAGTAGGTTACATTCCTGCCATGCAAGTCCGACATTTCAAGCAAGAAGCAGTATCTCAGTTCCAGTTAACATGCTAGGAAAAGCACTCAAGTAATGTGTGGAGGGATGTGGCCTGGGGAGACTCCCATGAGCTGGATACAGAAGCCTAGTGGGGCTCTTTCAGCCCCCAGGATGTAGGTTACATACTCCCCAGTTCAGACAACACTGAACCAGATAGACCAGGAATCTGACTGTTTAAGATGCCTTCCTATGTTAGGAACCATAATATGTTGTGAAATTAGATCACAATCCACCCCATTCATATGGGTCTTTCCCATTTTTGTCCTAGGCAAAGGAGGAACCATTGATGAAGGAGAGCATGACAAATTAAGCACACACTGCATTTTAATTAGGTTTTTTTTTATTATATTAGAGTTGTCATCTCTGTAACACTTTAAGCATGCAACCAATGATCCAAGGGTCTTCATGTGCATCCATTCTATATAAAAGTTAGACGTTAGCAACAAAGGTTGCAATGTGTCTTTTTGTGGGCATACTAACTTTCTACAAGGAGATAATTTAATTAGATGGATAATCATTCCCTACCCCTTGCAGTCTGCAGTGGTATAGTCACCTGCTGTTGACGAACAGGTTTCCCCCCCTCATCTGATGCCTGTGAGAACTAGGTTTCAGAGAGGAACTTGTTTACATGAATTTTCTAACTCCTGGTGGTGAAACCACATGCTTACTTATTAAGAGATGCTTTCCTAGTCCCTCTGCAGCCTGGTGCTGACCTGCAAAGTTACAGATTAGGAAGTCCAGTATGCAGTAGTGATGTTATGCACTCTGTTTATCTCCAGGGAAGAAGAACGGAAATGTTTGAAATGGTCCCCAACACACTATAACATGTTGCCTGCTTAAAACACAGCTGTGTCATTCTTTTTCTCAGTTAGGATCAAAGCTGGTTTAGAGGAAAATGCATCAAAATGCAGCATTTCATAAGCAACAACAGGATAGCTACCAGCTAGATATGGACTGCGGCTAATGCCATGTGTACACTGCTTCCCAAACCAGCACAACTGCCTGCAGAGTAAATGGGAATGTATACACAGCCTTTTGGCATACTAAAAATATTTTGCCAGCTAAAATTGAGTATTTCTATGCCCCCTCCCAGTGAGCTCTTCTACATTTCCATTTGTTCTGTGCTTTCTAGCCAGAGATACAAACCCCACTGTTTATTGCTGAATTGGAACAAATGGTAGGACAAAACACACCTCTTGGACCCATGAGTAGAAATCATGGGAGAAATGGAAGTGTGGAGAAGAACCAGACCAAATTAGTAGCAGTTAGGCGCCACTGAAATCAGTGTGCAATGTTACTGATTATTAACTTAGCAGTGCAACCTTATACGTCTGTGCAGAAACAAGTCAAACATTCTCAGGTAATTACAGTCCCTATGTGTAGGTCTGTAGCCCAAGTTGCATTGACTTCTATGGGAACAAAGCATCACAAATTTGCTCTGGATCCAACACTACATGACTGAAGAAGAGCCTAAACATTTTTGTACTGACTAAGCGCTTGCATACCTGCTGTCTTTGGAGTTTAAAAAAAAACCAAATGAAACTCAGAATAAGTGAACTACAGGACTGAGGCCACAGGCTTTTAGTTTACAAATTGGTATTGGGCCAAATTGTTAAACTATTTTGCTACTGCATTTTCCAGTTAAATATGCTTTTGGCTGGAGATTTGAAGAGCAGGGAAACTCTGTTGTTTAATGATTCCTCCTTTGATGTTTATAGCTTCGAGTTGCTGTTTTGTTGTGCGGTGTTAATAATTGATTTGGTTTTTGTATTTCATTGACCGTCAGCTGCTTTAGGAGTCACTGAGTGGTAAGGAAACTGTATAATGGCAGAAATAATAATAATAATAATAATAATAATAATAATAATAATAATAATAATAATAATGGCAACAACATATACTTCCATGGCCTTAAAATGCAAATAATACCTTATCACAACCATAGGTAAGAACCACACTGGGACAGACCAAAGTCCAGCATTCCCAGATGTCTCTGGGAAGCGAAGCATGGCACTTAGAAGTGGTTTACTGCTTGAGCAACCAGCCACTGCCTACCTCATCTGAAACAAAACAAAACAAAACAAAAAAAGCAATCTTTTATTATCATCATCATCATCGGTTAATCCAAATGAATGATTGTGGATGGTATCCAATGGTGACTCTCTGCTGACAGTAGGAATCCACCATCAGCAGAACAAGCAGAGAGCAATTTTTGGCAATCACGCCCTGTAGCATCCCATGCCCCAACTCCTAAATCTTTTTCTGGAGGGTCAGCTACCCTCTGGAAGAGATTTGAAAGTACACAGGGCACTGCAGGGAGGAGAGGGGACCATTGAAATCTGCTTCTAATAGAGTTGTTGAGGTTTTCTTTTCTTTTTTTGCAAATTCAAGACGTGTAAAGGGTAAAGGGACCCCTGACCATTAGGTCTAGTCAAGGACGACTCTGGGATTGCAGCGCTCATCTTGCTTTATTGGCCGAGGGAGCCGGTGTACAGCTTCTGGCGAACCAGAGCAGCGCACGGAAACGCCATTTACCTTCCCGCCGGAGCAGTACCTATTTATCTACTTGCACTTTGACGTGCTTTCGAACTGCTAGGTTGGCAGGAGCAGGGACTGAGCAACGGGAGCTCACCCCGTCACGGGGATTCGAACCGCCAACCTTTTGATCAGCACGCCCTAGGCTCTGTGGTTTAGACCACAGCGCCAGGACGTATATGGCAACCCTATTCTAACCCTCTTCTGCTGACAGATTCCTTCCGCAGAAAGTGGCATCACTGGGTGCCCCCCCTTATCTTATCTGTTTTGTTATCTCTGCCCTTTGTAGATGGTTGTGTTTGGGGAAAGGAATTTCTGGAAGATTTGACTCTTCTGAAAAGGAATAGCTGTTCATCATTTTTAAAAAGAAAACAGGGGAGCCTCTTCCACCCTACATGTTTATAATCCCTACTAGTGGTAAGTGACTTTCATCCTTTGGGAGGTTCTGCTGCTTACCAACCAACTTTTGCTGCGTTCATTCCGTCTTTAGACCTTTTGAGCCTTCTCCTCAAATTCCTGAAACGACACAATTTTAAGAAGTTAATTAGCTAGGCTAATCTGTGCACTCATGATTTAATAAAGCAGGGAGAAATTTCAGTGCGGCTTAAAGGGGTGGAAATCAACATCGGATGAAAGATGCACTGAACTTGGCTTCTCATGCTATCCACCTTTCCCCCGATCATGGATAAGACTTCCAATATATATACTTAAGATGCTACTCAATACAGTGATTGCATTTAAGGCATAAATTAGTTCATTATTAATATACAGTGGTACCCCGCAAGACGAATGCCTCGCAAGACGGAAAACCCGCAAGACGAAAGGGTTTTCTGTTTCGGAGGCGCTTCGCAAGACGAATTTCCCTATGGGCTTCCTTCGCAAGACGAAAGCCCATAGGGAAATCTCCGGGGACCTGTTTTAAATTGCTGGCGGTCGGGAGCAAAGACTTTCGCCCACAGCCGGCCTTCAGAAGAGGTCCTGGACCTCTTCTGAAGGCCGGCAGGGGGCAAAAGTCTTTGCTCCCCCCCGCCTGCCTTCCCGGGACAGCGGAGACTTCTCCGCTGCCCCGGGCGATCTTAAAATGCTGGCGGGCGGGAGCGAAGCGTTCGCTGCCGACCCCCAGCATTTTAAAATCTCCCCGGGACAGCAGAGAAGTCCCGCCCCGCTCCAGATGGCCGCGCAAAGCTGCCTGCAGTCGCGGGACTGCAGGCAGATCTGCGCCACCATCCCGAGCGGGGCGCTAAGTCCCGCCCCGCTCGGGATGGCGGCGCAGAGCTGTCTGCCGTCCCGGGATCAGCGCAGCTCTGCGCGGCCATCGGGAGCCGGGGGCGAAGCCCGCCCCGCTCCAGATGGCCGCGCAAAGCTACCTGCAGTCGCGGGATTGCAGGCAGATCTGCGCCACCATCCCGAGCGGGGTGCTAAGTCCCGCCCCGCTCGGGATGGCGGCGCAGAGCTGTCTGCCGTCCCGGGATCAACGCAGCTCTGCGCGGCCATCGGGAGCCGGGGGCGAAGCCCGCCCCGCTCCAGATGGCCGCGCAAAGCTGCCTGCAGTCGCGGGATTGCAGGCAGATCTGCGCCACCATCCCGAGCGGGGTGCTAAGTCCCGCCCCGCTCGGGATGGCGGCGCAGAGCTGTCTGCCGTCCCAGGATCAGCGCAGCTCTGCGCGGCCATCGGGAGCCGGGGGCGAAGCCCGCCCCGCTCCAGATGGCCGCGCAAAGCTGTCTGCCGTCCCGGGACTGCAGGCAGATCTGTGCCGCCATCCCGAGCGGGGCGCTAAGTCCCGCCCCGCTCTGGATGCCAGCGCAGAGCTGTCTGCCGTCCCGGGACTGCAGGCAGATCTGTGCCGCCATCCCGAGCGGGGCGCTAAGTCCCGCCCCGCTCTGGATGCCAGCGCAGAGCTGTCTGCCGTCCCGGGACTGCAGGCAGATCTGTGCCGCCATCCCGAGCGGGGCGCTAAGTCCCGCCCCGCTCTGGATGCCAGCGCAGAGCTGTCTGCCGTCCCGGGACTGCAGGCAGATCTGTGCCGCCATCCCGAGCGGGGCGCTAAGTCCCGCCCCGCTCTGGATGCCAGCGCAGAGCTGTCTGCCGTCCCGGGACTGCAGGCAGATCTGTGCCGCCATCCCGAGCGGGGCGCTAAGTCCCGCCCCGCTCTGGATGCCAGCGCAGAGCTGTCTGCCGTCCCGGGACTGCAGGCAGATCTGTGCCGCCATCCCGAGCGGGGCGCTAAGTCCCGCCCCGCTCTGGATGCCAGCGCAGAGCTGTCTGCCGTCCCGGGACTGCAGGCAGATCTGTGCCGCCATCCCGAGCGGGGCGCTAAGTCCCGCCCCGCTCTGGATGGCGGTGCAGATCTGCCTGCCGTCCCGGGATCAGCGAAGCGTTCGCTGCCGACCCCCAGCATTTTAAAATCTCCCCGTGTCCCGGTGAGATTTTAAAATGCTGGGGGTCGGCAGCGAAGCCCTTGTTCCCCCCCAGCCCCCCCCAGCCTTCAGAAGCCCTTGTTCCCCCCCCCAGCCTTCAGAAGAGGTCGGGGGAGAGACTGTCCCCGGACCTGGCCTGAAGGCGGTTTCCCTTAGAACGCATTAATTGATTTTCAATGCATTCCTATGGGAAACCGTGCATCGCAAGACGAAAAACTCGCAAGAAGAAAAAACTTGCGGAACGAATTAATTTCGTCTTGCGAGGCACCACTGTACAGTCATTCGCAAAGTTGTACCATGCTTTCAGCACCTAATAAACCAAGCACAGAAAAAGCTAAGAGCTTCTTTTGAGAAACAAATTTCTTAGAGATTAAGGAACACAATTTTCTCGCGCATGCATTAACATTTTAAGAGTGTAATCATGCAAAAGCAAATTTTCTGCATACATAAAAACCTCATGCTTAATAATCTTTACACGCTGCCTCAAGAGCTATTTCCAGATTAATTTAGGAAATATCACTGAAGTGCTAGACAGACTGCAGTGATATGCTCTCCCCTTCTGAGTACGGTTCATCTTCACTAATAAAACCTTCATCAAAGTGCATTGTCTTAATCTTTAAAAACAAACTCAACTTAATTCGAATCGTCTAATTGCAATATAAAACTGGAGCCTTTCTCTTTGGATGCCCTTCTCACCTGATTATATGGGGAAAGCCTCCTAAATACCAGACCTTTGAAGTATAGGTTCTTATTTTTCTTCCATCAATCAAACAAGATGTGCTTTGTTACACTGTTGTAGAATTCTGAAACTGCTATGATCTTCACAATGCAACAGGCAACAACCCTCCAGCCCAAAGTTTTAAGCACTTCTAAAGCAGAAGATCGGGAACTAAGATCTCTGCTGGAGACAGCTATTGCCAGCCAGAATAAGCAACACAGGGCTAGGAGAACAAATAGTCTGATTTGGTATTAGGCAGCTTCATAACTTCCACTTGATGGTGCCCGCCACCCAAAAAACAGAAAAAAGGCAACTGATTTATTTCTATTACTTTCTTCATGAAAATACCATGGCAGTAAAAAATCATTAGTGAGAAAGTAACTCAGACATTCACTAAAACAGATAACCTTTTTTGAAGGTTCAGCACAATTAAGTATAATAAAAACCATGGTGGTAAATCATGATTCTCATGGCAGGGAGAGTATACATATGCAGTAGGACTGGGTGATATCTGGTTTGCAACATCGTGATATATCACCAGCTAAACATTGTGATATAGTGATATACCACAATATCCGATATAAGGATGGAGCTATGTACAGGCATTGGCTTTTTCTGGACACACACACGTGCGCAACCCCCCCCCCCCATGATTCCTGATGTATTGCCAGGTCAAAAATTATGAAAACAGTATCACGGTTCAATATCACTTCAAACCGGTTTGGGACGATATATTGATATATCGCCCAGTCTTAAGATGCAGTGAGGTTCCAGGTTTGTATTTCTAAAAAGCAACCACCCATTAGCACCATATGCTCAGCCACCTTTAAACTACTCTTGACTGTGTGTAACATAGCTTCCTCCCTGCATATCTAGTAATATGAGGGAATTAACCTGTTCAGACCTATTACAGTTTAGAGTAAATGTTCAGGTTAGACAAGGGAAGATATTAAGTGTTTGGGAGACGTGAAATAAATAAAAAAAACACAATACACACAAACACTCGTATAAGCCTACTTCGTTCTCCCTAACTGATCTCCCCACCCTATTAAAGCACTATAAAAGCTCATGTTTGAGCCTAGGAGCCCTCTAAATTTACATAGCACATCAGAATTCTTAGAATCAGTTGGAAGGGACCACGTGGATCATCTAGTCCAACTCCCTGCAGTGCAGGAATCTTTCACCCAACATGGGGTTCAAACTCATGACCCTGAGTCTCATGCTTTACCAACTGAGCTAAGAGGCCTGACCAGGACCACAATTTGCCTCTTCTGGTCTGTTAGAGCCCTGAACAGGACCTCCCCTCTTCACAGCGTTGTGCTGGAGGCCCCACTTGTCAATGAAATAAATTTGCTTGTAGCAGTAATGTTACTATGATGTTGGCAAAGATAGTCAGGATTAGAGTACCATAGTGATCTTTCTGATTCGTGAGCCTACTGAACACCCCATCTTGAACACAACAGCTCCGACTGTGGCGTGACATGGCCCCAAGGCTCTGAAAGCATGACAGCCCATAGGGCTTATAATTTGTGGCCTAACAGTTTTGTGTCCCTGACATTAGTGACCTTTCCATTCATTGCCTTTCACTGGCCACATTCCAGTGAAGGCTTGTCAGCAAGAGCAGTGATCTTCTGGCAGTGAATGCCAGAAATATGATGCCTTTTTAAATTAAGGGGAGGACACTGCCTTTTATTTTAGAGTGGAGTGCTGTGGTGGCACTTGTGACAACCCTCCAGATGTGGAACTACAAATCCCATCAGCCCCAGCCAGCAACAGGGATGATCAGAATCGCAGTCCAGCAACATCCAAAGGGAGACAGACTGCCCATTCCTTGTGCAGTGGTGGGCTGCCAAAAAGCACAAAAACACACACAGTTTTAACAACGGGAAATGGCGTCTAAACATTTCACATCTCCTCCTTCCGCAGTATCTTTTCTCCATATGGAATTCCAGACACAGGTTAACGTTATTGGATTCAATATTCCCAAATGACTTCACTGGAGTGTTGTATGTTTCATCTTTATTGGTTTCTAGAGCTGACTTAAATTGCGCAGTTTACACAAAACAAGCAAAATCCATCCCCTGGAAGCAGGAGAGGAGAGGACAAAAATTAAGGCTACAGAACTTTGTTTCCTTTGGCCAATGGGAAAAATTATCAGGATGGATTAGGTGGACATAATTTGGGGCAATAGCTTGCAGTTTTTACTGACGTTTTTATTGCTGGTGTATAGAATTTAGAATTAATCAGATACACTGTTATTTCTCTCTTTCACTCCCTTCCTCCCAAATGAACATGGGAAGGGCCAAATTTCTTTCAATCGCTGAAATTTAGCGTGCAACTAAAAAACAATGTCAAGGCTAGAGGCACCGCAGGCAAGCTGTTAATGTGGGAACAAAAGGGAATTTGGCCAGTTTAATAACAAACGATGGTGGAGCTTTCCCAGAGATGGCTTAAGCCCAACTGGCCCTTTCCACCCCCAGAGCTACAGTATATATGCCTTTCAAGGATTTGCGGTCTGGCATAATCAAGACAGAGTAAACTTACATTCCTAGAAAGGAAAGAAATATAATTAACCAACACAACAAGGTTAGGCAGTATAATGCCCTAGGTTAAAATAACACCGCAGTTAAGAAGTGCTCAGTAAGCAATCAAAATCTATAGTGCACTGGTCTGTGATGATCCAGGGAAGGACCTCAGAGAACTTCCAGTACATTATTATCTTTTAGGTACCCTGTAGAGATGGTTGTTCCTGAAAATATGAATAAAAAAGGATTTGGGGCCAGGGAGGGGTGTGTGTTTTAGCATGTTTTAATACTTCCTCCTGCAGGGTTTTTTCTCTCTCTGTGTCTCTGTGTCACTTTCCATTTTCTTTAGTACTATAAATCAAGGCTTCTTGTTTTTGAAAAAAGAAAAAAAGATGTGGTTGTTCTAGAAGTAAAGAGATTGAAAAGAGCAAATATGCTATGGTCCTCACATGGACACTCTTAAAAGCATCATGTGGTAGCTGTTAACAACACAGTGACCACACTATGCAAATTCCCTACCAAGCGAGCAATGTACAGTGGTGCCCCGCAAGACGAATGCCTCACAAGACGGAAAACCCGCTAGACGAAAGGGTTTTCCGTTTTGGAGGTGCTTCACGAAACGAATTTCCTATGGGCTTGCTTCGCAAGACGAAAATGTCTTGCGAGTTCCTGCAGGTTTTTTTTCCTCCCCCCCCTTTTTCCCAAGCCGCTAAGCCGCTTATCAGCTGATCCGCTAAGCCGCTTAACAGCTGATCGCTAAGCCGCTTATCAGTTGATCCGCTAAGCCGCTTAACAGCTGATCCGCTAAGCCGCTTATCAGCTGATCCACTAAGCCGCTTATCAGCTGATCCGCTAAGCCCGCTAAGCCGCTAATAGCGCTAATCTGCTAATGGGCTTGCTTCGCAAGACGAAAAAACCCCAAGACGAAGAGACTCGCGGAACGGATTCTTTTCGTCTTGCGAGGCACCACTGTATATAGGGGAAAGTGTGCGATTGAGAAACCTAAGCAACAGAGCAGAATGTTGAGCCAAGAATCATATCCCTGCACAGAGCTAAGCCTTTTATGCTGCACCAACGTACCTGCTTCTCTCTGAAAAGGATTTGGTCTCAGTGACCCATGCCTGAGTAATGTCACACCTACCACTGCAATGCACTCCATGAGCTCTCATCAACACTTTTGTTTGTCCTGCCACTTTGCCCAGGGGAAACCTGCTCCTTACTGCTGAATTGGAACAAATGTCCATCGGGTTTTCCACAAACTGACATTTGTTCCGATTCAGCAGTAAAGAGCAGGTTTTTCCATAGAATGCAGTGGGGCTAATGGAAAACCACTCAGAGCCATGCTTTCTGAGCGTGGGACAAGCAAAGTGCGGATGAACCTGTTAAATGGTGGGTCTTCCAATACATAACAGAACCTACGCTGGAAAGCCTTGAGGAAGCAGTTTAGAAGGTACCACTAGTGCAAAATTGTCTCCTGACAGGCCTGGGCTGGCCACAAGGAGCACAGTACTCCCAGGGAACACAGGAAGTTGCATTATTAAGAGATCAAACTATTCATCTTTCTAGCCTAGTAATATCTACCCCATAGAGGCTCTCCAGGATCTCAGCCAGAAGGACGTTTGACTTCCTAGCATATTTGCAAGGGTAACATGTAAAGTGGATCATATTCCAGGAGAATTTCCTCTTTTTGAATAAACTGCGGTTTAATGGCCAGTATTTCTCTCTTGGATAAAACAAGTCTCGGGCAGACACGCAACTCATAATACAATCATAGAATTTTCTGCTGCACAACTGACATTCTAAATCACATGGGGAGACTCTACACGTAGAAGAGGCTCCCTGCTTCAGACTTCCACCCTCCATTGGTTGGCAGACGACTGGGGGATGGGAAAATTTTAGCACACTCGTCCCCACTCTTTGTGCTAGCTTGTAGGTTTCACATGCAAGCAGAGCACCCAAGTAGGGCTTAGGAGGCATCGCGTTTCTGACCTTCACTTCTTAAACTGCTGCTGAGCTGGTAATGATTTGATTCATTTTTGAGACTTGAGGAAACAGCTAATACCAAACACAGTATCAATATCAGACCTTTGAAAGTACCCAGTAGCGATTCCCAAAAACATCTGGGGGTATGGGGAACCCTGCTGGATCTGGCCAAAGGCCCATCTGTCTCAGTGTTGTGTTGTTACTGTGGCCAACCAGATGCCTTATGGGAAGCCTGAAAGCAGTAGTTTGGTCCAATGGCACTCTTGTAAGAGTGGAACGATCTCCTTCGGGAGGTTGTGGACTCTCCTTCCTTGGAGGTTTTTAAGCGTGGCCATCTGTCCTGGATGCTTTAGCTGAGATTCCTGCATTGCAGGGGGTTGGACTAGATGACCCTTAGGGTCCCTTCCAACTCTACAATTCTATGGTTCCCAGGAACTGGTATTCATAGGACTAGTGCTCAACTCAGAAATCAAGTCCCTGAGTCAGTTATATAGCACAGCACTTGTCCTAGGTGTTCAAAAGGTTCTTCACACATGAAATCCAATTCAGACTTTACCTTGGTCTAGCTCCGAGCTTCTCCAGCGTTTCCCCTGCCGTCTTCATAAGGGCTCCTCCAGTCACTTCACTTTGTCCTATCAATAATAAATGGCCCACAGTGAGAAATCATATCAAACTTAAAAGGAGGAAGGGGAAACAGACACTACAGTGTAAAACAGAGCTTTAAAATCCTGCTCACGTATAAACAATAGGAGCATAATGAAAATATGCCTGCTGAGGCATCTGGTTATTGCCGTTGTAATAACACCATTCATAACAAAAAAAAAGAGGGCAGCATGCCACACAAAAGAAAGGCAAAATTAAATTTTGAAAAATACAGTATGGCTCCTGCTGCCAGACCCATCGAGCTGAGACCACACACCTGAGAGTCAATTACAGAATTCTTACAGACCTGTCACAGGCTGCGCTCACTGTGGGGAAATGACAAATGATTGTTTGCCACAGGTTGAACCATCTACAACATCGGCATCAAGCAACATTGTCATTAACCTCCCCTCTTTCTATGCGCCAATCCTACAGCAGCTAATGTAGGGGACCTTGGACAACTGGATATTGAAAACCAATAATACTAGATAGAACATAGGGTGGTCAAAGAGGTTGAATGGTGGGAGAAGTTATGAAAGGAAGCCGTTCTTCACACAGCACATAGACTGGAACTTGATGGCTCAAGGTGCAGCAAAGGCCACCAACTTGGACAGCTTTAAAAGACAGAACAAATTCATGGAAGATAAGGATATCCATGGCTGCTAGCCATGTTGGTCATGTATTTTCTCCAGCATCAGAGGCAAAATGCTATGGGTTATCAGCTGCTAAAGAGCTTTCATGCCCTTCTTCAGGCTTCCAACAGGCATCTAGTTGGCCACTGTGGTAAACAGGATGCTATGTAGACTAGATATGCCTTTGCTCCTCTCTCATAAAGGTAAAGGGACCCCTGACCATTAGGTCCAGTCATGGCCGACTCTGGGGTTGCGGCGCTCATCTCGCTTTATTGGCCGAGGGACCTTCCTCTCTCATAGGCAGCCTCATATGCTAAGCTGAGGAAACAACAGCACTTGTTCTATTGACTGGATGTGTGTACAACGAATGTACAGTACTTAGGCAGGGGGAGAATGGGATTCCAGCAACAAGTTGTGTCCCTTGACCTTTTTTGCATGGTTCCTATGTACATTCAAGCAGTATGTCAGACAGGAACCCATCTGCATATACCAGAACCTATGGACATACAGTTTTTTAGTCCATAGACTAAATCAGGGCTTTTGTCATGATCCCGCTTCCCCCATCTGTGTTCAGTTGTGCTAACGTTTGCAATTAAATTAGCAAAATTATCCATGGGAGTATGAAGAAGATCAATTGTGCTAAGGCTAGTTCTTGCACTGTTTTTCTTCTACATACCCAAGGAAGCTGACCTTGGCTGTGTGCACATCACAGCTGGCCTGGACTAGACATGCCCTAATAAGCTAGCGTTCCAAAAAGAAGTATATTTGTTATGAAATAAATTATAAGAAACTTCCATGCACAACTCCCTGCCCTCCACCGCCCACATGTAAAAGTCTGTCCTATTAAGCAGAGGCTTGTAAAGGAATGAGTGGCTTAAGGGGAAAAAATCCCCAGTGGCTGCTATGCTTTCTATAAATGCTATTATAGATAAAATAAAAATAATCAATCTCTCAAACTGAAATGAAACAAGACTGACAATTTGGAACAGTGCTCAGTATTGTTACCCAGAAAAGTAAAGGTAAGTCACATGGCAGATGCAGTTGTAGTGCCAGTTTCCTCTTAAAGCCAGCCAAGGGACCTTGCAAACCAGTTGCTGGCTCCGGGTCTCCTATAAGAAGTTACAAGGGGACTAGTGTTTGGGTTTGCACCAACCCTTTGCTTTTGCAAACATTTACCTTGACATCACTACTCATGAAAACATACTAAGCAAAGCTCTGTTTTGGAAATTAGGAACATTTTTTCCCCTAAAGAAAATATGATTAAGACTCCAGTCCAAAATATGTTAAATTGGAATGCTGCTGAAATCAATTAGCCTTGATTTAGGGAAAATGTAGTTAGGACCAGGCTACAACTTGGCTTAAATATTACTTTAATAATACTTCACTAGAATTACAACTTTAATAAATACTTTACTAGAATATAGCTTGAATAAAAAAGAATAATGTGTATCAATGGTTTGCACAGTTACTATCAATGAGCTATTCTGAGTTACAGTACAGTTTCTGTGACTATGTAGTTCATACAGGGCTGTCTCCATGTTGGCTCCACCTTGGCAAAGTGTTCTCTGGTGGATCCCTTTCTATGTTGAAATCCCACCCACTCCCCTACCCCACAGTGAGTTTACCTAGCAACAGCTGTCAAAGGAGCCCATCTTCTCACCCGAAATGTTTCAACATCTATACAAAGCCACTGGGTGAAACTGTAAATAGCGTTAGGGCTGGGCGTAAGGCATAGGCAAACTCCGGCCCTCCAGATATTTGGGACTACAATTCCCATCATCCTTGACCACTGGTCCTGTTAGCTAGAGATGATGGGAATTGTAGTCCCAAACATCTGGAGGGCTGGAGTTTTCCTATGTCTGGTATAAATCAATATGCATACGGAATGATAGGATTGGAAGGGATTCCAAGGATCACCTAGTCCAACCTCCTGCAATACAGAAATCTCAAGTAAAGCATCCATGACAGATGACCATGGATGGACAGATGACCAGCATCACATAGCACAGAGATACATGAAAAAAGTAGAGAAACGCGGCTCATTTGTCTGCTTGAGTAGGGAATTTCCGACTTATGTTGGAAGCAATGGGGTTTTTTTATCAGAGGAGGGAGGGGAGGGAGGAGGGATGGGGGCTCAGTGCTGCTCATGGCACCCTTGACCATCACCCCAGGGTGCCATGGTACACTGGTTGAAAACCACTGCCCTAAAGAATGAAAGCATTTCTCCATTAAGAGTAAATAATAATAATAATGATAATGATGATGATATAGGATCCTCAATATTTTAGAGTGTTGTGGGCTTCTGCTAGTAAAGTAGGGCTCTCCCCCTTCCTCCCCGTGCCCCCCAAAACTGGCTCTAGGGCAGTTGGGAGAACCCCCAGAACAGCATATGGGGGAAGAAGAGGGGGACTGTTCCATTTGGCAAGCGGAAAGAAAAGCTCGCCCTGATGGAACGACTGACATAGCACAACATTGAACTCCTTCCCCTGTATGCTTTTAATATCCTGATGCATGTCCACATGAACCACAAATGTCAAAAGGATATTAATTTAATCTCACTCCTTTTTTTAAAAAAAAAAAATACGACTTGTGTATTATATTAGACCCATTAATTCAGTTAACTTGTGAATCCTTGGAAATATATTTTTGTTATTTGGAACATATGCTCAACTTAAATTACTTGCAGAAATTCCAGTTTTACACATGATAAACTAGTTGAGTGGGAAGTGAAATGCTTAAAAAAACAGCTGACACCCTGATCTTAAGCATCTGCATTGGCACATCCGTCAATCCCTAGACCAGCCTTCCTCAACATTGCATCTTCCAGATACTTTGAACTACAACTCCCATCAGCCCCGTCAGCATGGCCAATGGCCAGGTATGATGGCACATGTAGTATGACATATCTGAAGCACACCAGGTTGGGGAAGCCTGTCCTAGAGCCTTCTGTCCTGGATAATTATCAGCCAGTTTCTACTGTCCCTTTCTCTGTGTGCAAGATGTTTAAGCAAATGGTAGCTTCTTGGATAGTATGGATGCATTCCAGTTGGGAAGACGGCTTTGTTCGGGGACTGAATCTGCACTGACAGATGACCTGCACTGGAAACTGCACAGGGGGAGCGTGGCATCGTCATTTCTGCAGGATCACTCTGTGTCTTTCAACGCCACCTACTATGGTAACCTCTGGATTCTCTACCTGGGTTACAGATGGTTTTGTGATGGCTTCAACACTATTTGAAAGGCAAGTTCCAGAAGGTGGTGCTGGGGGGCCACTGCTCAGCCCCTTAGCCTTTGGCCTATGGGTCCTATGGAACTCCCGTTTCGTCCCCTGCGCTCGTTATAGCTACATTAAACCCACTGGCAATGGCCACTTAAAAGTACGGAGCACAAGCTTACCCAGGAAAGCAGTCTGAGGAACTAAGGGAAATCAAAGCCACAAGAGACAATGTTTTAGGCCATGGGTAGGCAAACTAAGGCCCGAGGGCCGGATCTGGCCCAATTGCCTTCTCAATCCAGCACACGGACAGTCCGGGAATCTACATGAGTAGAATGTGTCCTTCTATTTAAAATGCATCTCTGAGTTATTTGTGGGGCCTGCCTAGTGTTTTTACATGAGTAGAATGTGTGCTTTTACTTAAAACGCATCTCTGGGTTATTTGTGGGGCATAGGAATTCGTTCATTTTTTTCCTCAAAATATAATCGGGCCCCCCACAAGGTCTGAGGGACAGTGGACCAGCCCCCTGCTGAAAAAGTTTGCTGACCCCTGTTTTAGGCTTTACTGACAAATTTAAAGCAAACTCATCATTGGGGTGAAATGGCATCAATATCAGATTGCTGATAGTCTAATAAAAATATGTAACTTTGTCCCTAAGCTCAGCCTCCTTATGTGGTGTGAGGTGGTGTGCCTCTGAAAAGCAGTTGTGGGAGAACATAAATGCAGATAGCTGTGTTGCGTTCATGCCCTGCTTATGGGCTTCCTATAGGCATCCGATTGTCTACCATGAGAACAAGATGCTAGGGTAGGGGAGGTCTTTTGCTTGATGCAGTAGGTTCTCAACAACCGACAAGGAGTGTAGCTCAGAGGCCGAGCATCTGTCTTATATGCCATACAAACAAAAAGCAGATCCCACAAGCCTGAAGAGCTACTATTCCTGATACGGATTATGGAAACAAGCCAATCCTGTGCCTCCGCAGCCACATTCTGTCCATCCAATCACTGCTCCAGAAGTGCGCAGGACCAGGCACAATGCCCTCCTCTACTGGTGAAATGCTACAAATAGGTTTGGGTGCTAGCCATCACAAAGAAGCTCAAGACCTAGTACCAGAATGTCAAGCAATGAAAGTGTTAAGGGCAGGCGTGCGTCCCTGAAACTAGCTGGGGAGGAGGTGGAGCCTTTGAGAGTTCTGATATGTGATATTCTAAGGACCATTTGAGCATCTCAGCCACTGCAGTCCAATCCGGAATGCTGTTGTTTTTTTTCTAGTACCTGCCTCATGAGGAAAATGGCTCTTGCTCACTTGTCAGGGACTGCAGCGCAAGCGACTGTTTGCACTGCGGCAATTCAAGTAATTCTGTAAGTTTGCTTTTTTTCCTACTAGTAGGTAGGCAAGGAACTCTTCCAAATCCATTGCCAAATGCAGAATGCAATAAAGAGTTAAATGATACACCAATTAAACACAGCAGCTATATAAACATGGAAATTTATATCTGTATCAGATTGGATTGCACAAATTCTGAAGACCACATATTTTCACACAATGATGTGGACTTTTGGTAGGCAGCAGCCTTAAATGGCTTGTGGGTGGTGCTGACCTACCCTTTCAAATATACAGTGGTACTGTGCAAAAATTTTGTCACACCTTTCAGCTAAAACTCTGTGGAAGCTAAAAATGCAATGGAGAAGCACACCACCAACAAACAAAAACAGATTATGTAAATTAAATGCAAAATATAACATTTAAAAATCTTATTAAAGAAATGTATTTTGTGTATTTTGTTAAATATGCTTTTGCAATAGTAGTGAAGTATGCCAATACATGACATCTCTACTACTAAGGCAAGTTAGTGCATAATTAAGAAGTCTTGTAGTTGAGAACAACTACTGCATACTTTTGCTTTTATAAAAAGCACCTTTTAAATATTCTTTGAATCTGCTGATACGAATGAAAATTTTTTTAATGCATTTACACAAATTAACAGTATTTGCACCTCAGTGCAGATTTTTCAACCCCAATATATTCTAGCTCCCCTTACTATTTCAAGTGCATTCAGAATCTGTATTTATCTGAACACATAGTGACAATCTTGAATTCCACTTTTGGATGCAGTCCTGTAGTTTTACATGAGAGTAACCCCCACTGAACTCAACAGGGCTTACTTCTGAGTTAGGCATTGCATTGTTAGGAACCAACATTAATAAACTGTCACTCAAATCCTCTGTCTTTCCATAGTAATGGCTAGTACTGAAATTTAGTACCGAAAGAGCACATTCAGAATATTAGCATGTTTTGATAATGTCTTATATTCAGTGCTTTCTTTCTAGAAAAAGAGGTGCCGGTACTCACCATGAAGTTTCTACAGTAAGTGCAGCACTTTTTAACAACAACAATAAGAGGTGCAGGTATTGCATACCTTTGAGTGCCCCCTGAAGAAGAAAATGCACTACTTATATTGCTGCCTAGTTGATTAATTTCAAACCCCCCTCCCAAAATGGTCGGAACATTTTAGTTTAACCAAACATATAACTATAAAATCACTGGATAAGAGTTGAATGAATAATAACAATCCTCAAAGCCACGTACATAGTTTTCATCTGCTTTGTCGACTGCAACCATTTTCAGATTATATACTTAAGTAGTCGAACCATAAGTGTCATCGGCAGCATAAAGCTCTTCTATATTGGAATCAGATAACCGTTCAAATGAGGGGAAGGAGGGGGGGAAGACTTATCTAATTCGAAGTATATATACTGTACAGATCGTACGGTTGAAAATCTCCTGCAGTTTAAAGCACTTGAGCATTACGGTATCCACAAACCTGTAACAGAATTCCATCCTACGCCCAGAAGCTAAACAAAATCGCCAAGGATGACGGAAAAGCTGGCGTGTAACACATACATGGCTGAAACCATGAAACACATGGCTGCATTTTCTCCTGTGCCGTCGGAGTTAAAGGTGCTGAACACCGATGCTACTTTTGTCTCTTTCTGATATGGATCCAAGATGCCAGGCATGGAGACCAGGGCAATGAAACTAATGCAGTCAGCCTTAGCAAATTAGGTAAATTAGAAATCGTTTGATGGCATTCTATTGTTGCCATTGTAATCACAGTAATTTTCATTGGTAATGGTGCTTCGTGATGAAGTGGGATTCTCACGGAATAATTGTGAAAGGTATACTGGAAGAATCGGCGTGTAGCATCTGGCTGCAAAAAGGAGGAAAAAAAGCTCTTCGGATTCAAATTGGCATTATATTTTATCTTGAAAATTTATTAGAGATTCACATCATGCCATTTTAAGTGGAAAAGGTGAAAGCAGAGTAATTTTGTTCTATGAATTATTCATAATTATTCAGACTGGGTGAAGCTGCCATCCAGGCACTGACAGTTTCTTCTGCTCTGAGCCTCCATTTACGCTTGTCATTTTTATTCCTTTATCTACGATCGCTTTCTTAGTTACAGAACTTGTCCCTTAGGGCTTCCTCTTCGCAAAAAAACCAACAAAAACCTGAGTCTTTCAAATCAGCAAGAATGCAAAGGATGTGCTGCTTGCCACAAATCACAGTTCTCCACGAGCTGTCTTTTTCTCTCCCCCCATCACATCGCCGCCCCCCCTCCAATAGCATTTTGAAAACCCACATCCACAACGTTGCCTGTTCTTTGATTAGATGGCTTTAGAGAAGGAAAAAGGAAAAAGAAACAGCAAAATACAAAAAAAAGAGCGTGTTGCAACTGAAGAAGAGTTATATATTCTCCTGAAACAACAACCCAGAAGATAGTGGTGTTTTGTGCGTCTTCCTTTGTTGTCAATGTAACCCATTCTAGCTGCATAGCATCACGCAGAAAGAAACAACTGTTAAGGCAGGCTGACTTCAGTGCCCTCGCTTCCAATGTGACGCGGACAAGGACTGCGCTCACGACAGACTAATCCACACAAATATACACTTAGGAGGCTAAAAAAAAAAAGAGAAAGAAAAAAGAAAACCACAAGTAAATAGCTGCTTATGGAAAAGAAATGTAAAAAAACAGAAACCAGCAGCAGTTGGGTAGCAAAGTGGAGCACTCGATTCTCACAGGCTGAAAGCGAAAGAGATTGCAATCCCAGAGATTCTCCACTTGATGGCTGGCTGTGACACTGCTAGCCGACTGCTACCCTGCATCCATCCAAAAGGACTGGGATTGATTTAGGTCAGGGAGTCTGCTTTCTCGCTTGAGCTTTTGCTCTAACCGGTGGGAGAAACTGTGGCTATATCTATAGGACCAGGAACTAATATATTAGTCTGGGATATTGAGAAGGCTTCCGCAGCAGAGCGCTTGCAAAAAAACAACAGCCAAAAACAGAAGGGGGGGTTAAAAAGGCCCCAGACAGTAACAGGTATCGTCTCCTTTGTCCTGTTCCTGCAGGTGTGTGTCGTTGTGGCATAAGCAACTGTTCACATACAAGGCAGAAAAACCAATCGCTCTTCGTCAGAGGCAATTTAGGTAAAAGGCTCCGAGCAGTGTGTGCCTCCGTTCAAGAGACGCTGCGAATGTCTGAAGCTAACGTGCACATCCAGGTGGTATGCATCTCCTGGACAAAGGTAAAAAAATGTACACTGCAGTAAAACAGATGGAAGGTTTTTAAATACAAAATAATAAAGCCTATGCTGCTCCGTGCCCGGTTCTAGGCGTCTGCTTTGCCGCACTGCGACTAGAAAACTGCAGCAGGGAGAGCTCTGGCACTTGCGATAATGTAGAAAGCAGCAGCTCTGTGACAAAGCAGTCAGCTGACTTGCACTGTTATAATTCAATGTCCTCTCTAAAAATAAGGCCAGTTTCTAAGCTAGCACCAGAGGATGACCCGGCATACCAAATCCAGCCCCCCAAAAACCTGCAAGAAAGGGAGTGGTGCCAGGGATTCTTCTATTATTGCCCTATATCAGATGTGTTGTTTTGAGCTGTTTTGCATGGGGGGCGACTTGTTTTTGGGGGTGGGAGTCCTGCTGCTTTTAGTAGAGTTACCCTTTGGGATACAGAACTGTTCGCAGCATTTCTAAAGCTGCTACATAGCTTTTAGCATCATCATCAAGTGAGGAGCAACAGATAGGCAGGAAGGGGTTACAGGTTTCCTAAAATGACTCTGAACATGTCTCTGCTGCCCAGATACTGAAGTAATGGGTGCTGTGGGAAATGCAGACCAAGAACAGAACAGCAAATGCTAAGAGTCCAGGAGAAAGCTCTTTAGTCTTCATTATGCTGGTGCTCAGACAGCAATCCTCCTCCTACAGGTGACAAACGTGCAGCAGTTCTCAGCTAAAGCTAACACGAGCTGATGTCTGAAAATTAGGACAGCATGCCGACATTACACATTAAAGCCTGTTTTAAACACGTTTAAGTGTCACAGTACCAAATCAAGGATCTCTGGGAACTTTAATTCTATGAAGGAGCCATGGTCCCAAGACAGCATTAATATGAAAAACAACAGAACCCTGTGGCACCTTTAAGACTATTGTGACACTAGGTTTTTGTCAGCAAAAGCCTACTTTAGCAGATAGATCATTTTGGGGGAAATTCTGGATGACTAAACCGGTTTCAGTCTAGTTTAAATGTGTACAGTGCCTGGGCATGAACACCAAAATATTTCATCTGAAGTGGCCCAACAGAAGCCAATGGTAGCAGAGAAACCATCTTCCAGTCTACCCATCTTTGACTAGGGCTGCAATCCCATGCATTACTACATTCAGAGGGATTGCTTCTGAGGGGAAAAAAATGAGTATGTTCAGAATATTAAGCTAGCACAGGCCTGATCCAAAAGGCCAGTCTCTTGTAAAGGGTTCTCAGCCATCTAGTCTCCTTTATTATAATATAATAATAAATTATTTGTACCCCCCCCATCCAACCCGGTCATAGCTGTCAACGTTTCCCTTTTTTAAGGGAAATTCCCTTATTCCGAATAGGATTCCTCGCAAGAAAAGGGAAAAGTTGACAGCTATGGACTGGGTTGCCCCAGTCTACGGTATGAAGCTGCAGGGTTTGAATCAAACCTTTCCCTGATCAACTAAGTAGCCAGCGATTCCATCTCTCCACCAGCCATTCCTGTGCCACACCGACAGAAAATACTGCTGTATCCAGAAAAGTGTTAAGACTATTGTTCTGTGTATGGGGAAAGGGAGAATTCATCACCCATGTCCTCTTTCACAGGACCAACTACAATTCCAAACCTAACCTTGCTACACTTCAGTCATCCTCTGATAGGCTTGATAGCCTACAAGCCTGTGCCTTTCTTTGCTTAAATTAGATGTGCAGAGGATCCTGCAAGGGCTGAGGACTCCTGCCAGGTGATTGCTGGCAATTAGATTTGCTGCCACCAGCTTCCTTTTTAAAAAAAGCCCAGCACAGATGTGCTCTGTGACTGTAGAAAAGGTGGGAAATGTTTATCTTCTGCTGACAGCCACAGTCTTAAAGACGTTGCTATATAGCAGGGGTCAGCAAACTTTTTCAGCAGGGGGCTGGTCCACTGTCCCTCAGACCTTGGGGGGGCAGACTATATGAATCCCTATGCCCCACAAATAACCCAGAGACGCATTTTAAATAAAAGCACACATTCTACTCATGTAAAAACACCAGGCAGGCCCCACAAATAACCCAGAGATGCATTTTAAATAAAAGGACACATTCTACTCATGTAAAAACATGCTGATTCCCAGACCATATGTGGGCTGGATTTAGAAGGCGATTGGGCCGGATCTGGCCCCCGGGCCTTAGTTTGCCTACCCATGCTATATAGATACAATAAGTTTCTTTTTTAAAAAAAATAAAGTTCAATGTTTTATTCTATTTTTATATACATTGGAAGCTGCCCAGAGTGGCTGGGGCAACCCAGTAAGATGTGTGGGGTATAAATAGTAAAATTATAATTATGGAATGGGGTGTCCCTATTTTCATCGGAGAAATGTTGGAGGGTATGGTACAGCTGCAGTGCCACTGGCAGGTGGCTCAGTGGTGGTGAGTGTCCCGTGGGGTGTGGGTGTGGTGGGTAGTGTGGCAGAGCAGGGTGGCACTTCCTGTTTTGCCTCAAGTGGCAAAATGAGACGTACCACCCCTGACCTCAGGATTTCAGAACTTGCACCTTACCACTCCCGCCTCTGCCTCCCCCACAACCACGGGGCTCTCAGCAGCAGTGGCTGCGGCGGTCACAGCCTAGGCGGGTCTGCAAGCAGTTAGCCTTCCTGCGGCCGAGGAGCCCTGCTGGCTGCGGATGCTGTGATGGATGCCACAGGGGCTCCTGCCCCAGGTGCGCCAATCTCAGCCTAGCTGGCACGAGGCTCGCCCAGTCCGCTGCCAGGCTTACCCAGCACCAGGTCAGGTGAGTTCCCTGGACCCCTAATTGGGAACCACTGGTCTAGGACATCAAGGATGTCTGTCTATGATCTGCTAGTCAATAGAGTTTCAGGTGGAAAAGGGAGGCAGGGAGCTGGAAGCAAATCCTCTGTTGCCCTGCAGCTCTCTGAAGCCGCCTTTGGAAAACAGGAGGAACACCGTGTGTCCGAAATACCTTTCCATTCACTGCTCCCAAAGCCAACTTCCAGACTGCATTCAGGAATGTGGGAAATAAATCTCTTTCATCTCCTGCGACCAAATTTAGCATCCACCCACCTCCCACCAGTCTCCAACATTCTGCTTCTTGATATTAATAGGGATGTGGGGAACTGGGTTTTATACAGAGAGATTGGAAATAGGCCAGAGAAAGCTAGCTGAGACACACATCTATTGAAATCAGCAGGGCATCTGAACACCCATGGGGCACTTCATGAATTGTAAGCATCAGTCCTACTAGAACACACATGCACCACAAATGCACATGTATGTGTGACAAATGCAGACATGCCTGTTCCCCCCCCACCTTGATATATTGTGTAGGAAAGTTGTCATGTATGAAGCTGCCTAAAATGCACTACATTTTAGTGCATTATATATATAAAATTCCATGTAATTCAATATTATTGCCAGGTACCGACTCAGCAATACATCTTACTGTTTGCCTCTTTCCTCTGGGTGGCCGTGGATTTAAATGGTGATTTGCTCACAGTCACTGCAGGTTTCTGATTTATTAAGCAATAATGAATAAAAGAAACATGCCACCCTGCTTTCCCTATTAAAGGCAACTATTGCATTACTTATTTATTTGCACTCTCCTTAAATAAAGTTCAGCTCAGACGGATTCGAAGAGTAATATTCTGGGCCAGATGTTCATCTGAAGTGCTGAGAGGCTAAGATGAGATGGTAAATTTGAAAAAGGGTGGCAGGGGGTTCTCTTAAGGTTGCCTGTTCAAATGAGTACATATACAAAAGGTTGGGAGACAGAAGGAATTTTGTTATATTGCAGCCCACATAATATCAATGGAAGGGATCAATATAGAGTATTAGAAAAGTGTAGGGTAAACCAAAAGACAGGAAATCAAAAAATGCTGCTAGCCCCCCCCCCCAGCATGTTCAACAATGGTGTTTAAAAAGATCCGAACACACTTTCCCACTATAAATATAGAGACAAAGTAAGTCTTTAGGGTCAATCCTAGGCCACTGAGCCTAACTTAAGGCCTTGTGCCTGCTTAAATTAAAGTCTTGTTTTTTTCTTAGTTCTGCACAGAATGAGTTTTGTTTAACTTGGTGAAATCTAGGCTCACAAGGGTCAAATCTGATAGTATTTAGGCACATAATGTAACAGATTAGGAGATGACACAAGCCTAAAGATCTTATCTTTATGTGATCAAGTCACAGCAGCTGGCTTCCCCTAGCAGCTTAACTCCTTGCTTCCTACCATTTATTCTCCCTCTTGCTTCTATCTCTGCTTTTCCTTTCCAGCCACTCCTTGAGCCAGTTTTGCACCCTAACACTGAGAAAAGTAAGATATCGTTGACAAAAACCCTGCACCCTACGCAATGAGAACTTTTAGACATTTTTGTTCACCTGCAGAAATTTTCAAAATGCAATTCATTTTTCCATTAATTGATGGTGAACGGTAGGGTGAAACAAAACACACACAAAATGCATTAGCATTACTGCAAATAGCTGTTAACCAGTAACAAGCACATATAAAAAGCAAGATAACGAGAGTGTGCCGTAAATATATAATTTCACTATTAGATCACAGAGACACTCTGAAATTCATTCTAGGAGTCCATTTCTAGGCTGAACCAGTGGAAAACTGAGCATATTTTTAGTTGTTTGAAGACATACTTGATAGATGAGTTGGGAGTAAATTCATGCAACTGAGCCTAAAAGATCAGCAGGGACTCGTTTTCAGCAGTGCTTACCTCTATGCCAAGGGTGGGGGAACTTTTTGGCCGCATGGGCCAGATCTTTATTTCCCTCGCACTGCCAAACCAACTTTGACAGGTAGGTGGGGCCACCCAGCTACCAATCATCTGATATCCTATTGATGTCATGTGACTGGGCACGTCCCCCTACACCAGGGATAGTCAACCTTTTTATACCTACCGCCCACTAATGCATCTTTCTTGATGGTAAAATTTCCTTACCGCCCACCAGTGCTGCAGTAACATGTGGCGTAGAACCCCCTACCGCCCACCTGGAATCCTGAAATGCCTGCTATTTGGTGATAGGGACCAGGATGACTACCCCTGCCCTACACCAAAGTCGACCCGCTACCGTCGGCAGAGCTACGACACAGACAAAACAGTGAGTAATCTCAACCAATTAACAATTAGAAATTGGCTTTGGTTTCTGATA